TAGTACGTTGAATCGAGGTTGTACTGTATAATTGAATTCCATAAATTCAATATATAAATATTGAATTTATGGAATTCAATATTTATAAAGAAATGCAAAGTGCCGGTAGCACAGGCACTCAGTATAGTGTGGAGGAAGAGCTTGGACACGGGGGAGATATCATATGCAAGTAGCAGACATAGCCCCTCTACACAAGGGAGTGAGCAAACCATTGGCAAAGAATTATAGACCAGTTGCAGTAACATCGCGCATAATAAAAGTATTTGAGAAGAGTGATTAGGAGTCAGGTCACCAATTTCATGGAGACCAATGACCTTCACAACCCAGGCCAACATGGATTTCGAGCGAGAAGATCGTGCCTCTCACAGCTACTTAAGCACTACGACAAAGTCACCGAGGCATTAGAAGAAAATTAGAATGCTGATGTGATATACACGGACTTTGCAAAGGCTTTCGAAAAATGTGACTATGGCGTGATAGCACACAAAATGAAGTCAATGGGAATAACCGGTAAAGCAGGACGCTGGATACTCGGTTTTCTGTCAAACAGGACTCGGCGAGTAATAGTCAACCATATAAAATCTAGTCCAAGTGCAGTTAAAAGCTCTGTACCTCCGGGTACAGTCCTTGCACCGCTGCTTTTCCTTATTCTCATATCAAGTATAGACAAAAATACAAGTCACAGCTTCGTATCAACCTTTGCAGATAACACAAAAATACACATGAAAATTACCTTGGCTGAAGACATTGAAAAACTTTAAACTGATACTAATAAAGTTTTCGACTGGGCATTGGAAAATAACATGATGTTTAACAGTGATAAATTCCAGGTACTCAGGTACGGTAAAAAATGAGGACCGTAAACATAATACATGGTACAAAACACAATGAAATGTGCCCATAGTAGGAAAACAGCATGTAAAGAATTTGGGAATAATGATGTCTAAAGACCTAACGTTTAGGGAGCATAACCAAGCAAATATTGCGACAGCCAGAAAAATGATAGGATGGATCACGAGAACTTTCAAATCCAGGGATCCCATCACAATGGTTGTACTCTTCAAGTCACTTGTGTTGTCCCGTCTTGAGTACTGCTCAGTACTCACTTCCCCCTTCAGAGCTGGAGAGATTGCTGAAATAGAGGGAATACAGAGAACATATACGGCATGCATAGACGCGATAAAGCACCTAAATTATTGGGATCGTCTCAAAGCCCTCCAAATGTACTCACTAGAAAGAAGACAAGAGAGAGATCAAATAATATACACCTGGAAGATACTGGAGGGCCAAGTACCAAATCTACACAGTAAAATAACAACATACTGGAGTGAACGATATGGAAGAAAATGCAGAATAGAACTAGTGAAGAGCAGGGGTGCCATAGGCACAATCAGAGAACACTGTATAAACATCAGAGGTCCACGGTTGTTCAACACCCTCCCAGTGAGCATAAGAAATATTGCCGGAACAACCGTGGACATCTTCAAGAGGAAACTAGATTTATTCCTCCAAGGAGTGCCGGACCAACCGGGCTGTGTTGGGTATGTGGGCCTACGGTCCACATGTGGACGATTTACTATAAAACCAGAAAAACGGCCAGCCTACTCATGAGAAACTCTCCAGACACAAAACAGAACGCTTTAAAAGAGACCAACGTCGTCTATGCCTTCAAATGCCCTCTTGGGGACTGTAAGCCTCAAAAAACCCAGTATATAGGCAAGACGACAACATCTCTTTCCAGGCGTTTAACGATGCATAAGCAACAGGGCTCCATTAAGGAACATATAATCTCTTCCCACAAACAAACCATCACCAGAGAAATCTTAGCAAACACAGAAATCATCGATAGATACAGTGATAGCAGGCGGCTTGACGTCTGCGAGGCACTACACATCAAGAAGTCAACACCAGCAATCAACAGCCAATTAATGCACAATTATATTCTACCCACTTCAAGACTCTGCACCAATATAGAAGCATCAAGAAATATGGACCAATAGGCTTTCTACAATTACTTCCATTCAATACCCATTGTTTCGTGTTCTGTCTTGTGTTTGAATTTAATACCCATTCAATACCCATTGTTTCGTGTTCTGTCTTGTGTTGGAATTTAATACCCATTGAATACCCATTGTTGAAAGTTCGTTTTTCACCTCATCCACCTCACCCAAATGTAGATATAAACCTCGAAGATGTGTAAGCTCTATTCAGTTTCAGTTGTGTGTTTGTAAACTAAAGTCTTTGAAAATGTAATAAGTTTTACGAAATGCGCTCAAGTGTCGTGTCAGACTAGAAATAAAAATGAATTTTGGAGAATTGATCTTTGAATTACCATCAACAGTGAAAAGAAACATAAGAAAGATAGAGAAAATTCGTGTTAGAATTATTAATCATACTTTTTCAGTCATATTTAATAATATATGTCTACAGGAAAGACTGCTACCAAAATATACTATTATATATATATATATATATATATATATATATATATATATATATATATATATATATATATATATATATATATATATATATATATATATATATATTAGTATATTTTGGTAGCAGTCTTTCCTGTAGACATATTTTATTAAATATGACCGAAAAAGTAAGATTAATAATTCTAACACGAATTTTCTCAAACTTTCGTACATTATGCTTCACTGTTGGAGGTAAATCAAAAATCACTTCTCCAAAATTCATTTTTATTTCTAGTCTGACGCGACACGGGCGCGTTTCGTAAAACTTATTACATTTTCAAAGACTTCACAAATACACAACTGATTAGAACTTGCGTTTCCCTGATTTTATATCTACATTTGAGTGAGGTGGGAAGGGTGATGTGGCATTACATTTGAGTGAGGTGGGAAGGATGATGTGGCATTAGAGGATATTAATAGGGTATTAAAAGTATCAACACAAGACAGAACACGAAACAATGGATATTGAATAGAAGTGTTTGTAGAAAGCCTATTGGTCCATATTTCTTGATGCTTCTATATTGGAGCGGAGTCTTGAGGTGGGTAGAATATAGTTGTGCAATAATTGGCTGTTGATTGCTGGTGTTGACTTCTTGATGTGTAGTGCCTCGCAAACGTCAAGCCGCCTGCTATCGCTGTATCTATCGATGATTTCTGTGTTGTTTACTAGGATTTCTCTGGCGATGGTTTGGTTATGGGAAGAGATTATATGTTCCTTAATGGAGCCCTGTTGTTTATGCATCGTTAAACGCCTAGAAAGAGATGTTGTTGTCTTGCCTATATACTGGGTTTTTTGGAGCTTACAGTCCCCAAGTGGGCATTTGAAGGCATAGACTTCATGTCATAGACTTCAACATCTCTTTCTAGGCGTTTAACGATGCATAAACAACAGGGCTCCATTAAGGAACATATAATCTCTTCCCATAACCAAACCATCGCCAGAGAAATCCTAGTAAACAACACAGAAATCATCGATAGATACAGCGATAGCAGGCGGCTTGACGTTTGCGAGGCACTACACATCAAGAAGTCAACACCAGCAATCAACAGCCAATTATTGCACAACTATATTCTACCCACCTCAAGACTCCGCTCCAATATAGAAGCATCAAGAAATATGGACCAATAGGCTTTCTACAAACACTTCTATTCAATATCCATTGTTTCGTGTTCTGTCTTGTGTTGATACTTTTAATACCCTATTAATATCCTCTAATGCCACATCATCCTTCCCACCTCACTCAAATGTAATGCCACATCACCCTTCCCACCTCACTCAAATGTAGATATAAAATCAGGGAAACGCAAGTTCTAATCAGTTGTGTATTTGTGAAGTCTTTGAAAATGTAATAAGTTTTACGAAACGCGCCCGTGTCGCGTCAGACTAGAAATAAAAATGAATTTTGGAGAAGTGATTTTTGATTTACCTCCAACAGTGAAGCATAATGTACGAAAGATTGAGAAAATTCGTGTTAGAATTATTAATCTTACTTTTTCGGTCATATTTAATAAAATATATATATATATATATATATATATATATATATATATATATATATATATATATATATATATATATATATATATATATATATATGAATGAATGAATGAATGAATGAATGAATGAATGAATGAAAACTCACACCCCAGAAGTGACTCGAACCCATACTCCCAGGAGCAACGCAACTGGTAACTACAGGACGCCTTAATCCGCTTGACCATCACAACCGGACAATGAGGAAGTGATAGCCGAAGCTATTTGCACCACTTCCCCGCCGGCACTCGGATGGTAATCTTGGGCATAGCATTTTATCTATTATAATTTTATAGCATTTTTAGAATGAGGTGATTTGATAAAATGCTATGCCCAAGATTACCATTCGAGTGCCGGCGGGGAAGTGGTTCAAATAGCTTCGGCTATCACTTCCTTATTGTCCGGTCGCGATGGTCAAGCGGATTAAGGCGTCCTGTAGTTACCAGTTGCGTTGCTCCTGCGAGTATGGGTTCAAGTCATTTCTGGGGTGTGAGTTTTCAGTCGCATATAGTCCTGGGAACCATTCAGGCTTGTTCGCATGCATATGCATATGCATGCATATATATATATATATATATATATATACATACATACATACATACATACATATATATATATATACATACATATATATATATATATATATATATACATACATACATACATATATATATATACATACATACATATATATATATACATACATACATATATATATATATATATATATATACATACATACATACATATATATATATATATATATACATACATACATACATATATATATATATACATACATACATACATACATACATATATATATATATACATACATACATACATATATATATATATATATATATATACATACATACATACATACATATATATATATATACATACATACATACATATATATATATATATATATATATATATATATACATACATACATACATACATACATACATACATACATACATATATTATATAAATATAATCTCCCCAATCCTCCAGTTTTGGTAGTACAGTACTTATAGTAATGATGAGGACCATAGTATATATATACTGTACCGTCGTACAACAAAATTAGAATGTAGAAATCTAAACTATTGAGTTGGACAAATCGAAAAACTAATAATTTTCAACTTCTGTTGCTTTTTGTAACTAATCTAACCTCCTAGGCCTAATGCACAATATATGAGGCCTAACATAGTAAATGTGTGCTATACTAGGCCTAGGAATACTCAAGTTTGTTTTTTGGCTTCATTTATTTTAAAAGAATTCCTTACAAGTTAGTATAATACTATCTAAAAGCTAAGTACGTACAAATTCGTGACTATTGACTATCGTCACATTAGTGTACCTATTATCTAAACAGGAAGATGGGTTGATATACAACTCAAACAAATATACTGTATATGTAAATAGACATTTCATGTAATATCCATTTCCATATTTTATGATCAAACTTATTGCTGTAGGCAAAACTAAAGAAGTCTTTGTAACAAATTCACAAAATTAGAATTACAGTACAGCAATAATATAATATTCAGATTAATGAACCAAACGAGAAAAGTAATTTTCTAGACCACTTGACATCCTCCAATCCAGTTACTTCGGTTCCAATCGTGATTGGATATGTACTCTTTAATTAAGACATTTGGTTGAATCCTCCCAGCCACCAAAAATAATAGTTTTATGTACACAAGTACATAATGCATTATAGCTTCATAGATACTTTAAACAAAACACAAAATATTATATTAGTGACAATAAATACTATTTAATATGAGTACTCACCACGTTTAGGCGAGTTTAGTGATGTTAACTGAGGGTTGAGGCCGAGATACATGAGGGTTGATGTTGAGGCCGAGATACATGAGGGTTGATGTTGAGGCCGAGATACATGAGGGTTGATGTTGAGGCCGAGATACATGAGGGTTGATGTTGAGGCCGAGACACTGAGTAAATGGCTCCCACGGAACAAAGTCCAATTTGATTCACACCAGGCCCTTCCGAGTTGTTGTAAACCTTCCACACTTGAAGCCAAAACCTGGCCGCCTGTTAAGATCACTTAGATTAAGAGAAGGCCAAGAATGCAGAGTAAGACCAAAACAAACTAACAAATCAAAATACAGAAATAAGAGACCCTGAAGGAATCCACTTGGTCATTAGACAGATAACCCGCTGATAGGGGCTGAGTGCCACTAGGTGTCTAACCCACAGTTCCTATCCGCCAATGTGCAGTGGTTGGATGCTGTAGTCGTCGGGTTAACCCCCACTCTGCGGTAGTTGTCCTATTTGTTCCCGATCCCCAAGTGGAACTTGTCAAACCTGTGGAACATTCAGGACCGTGCAGACTTCAGTTACTTAACTGCCTGTCCCACTTTCTAGATGAGCTACTTATCTCTGGTCTGCTTGGTGTTACAGCTGGCTTCTTGGATTTTGTCCCTGGACCTATGAGACCGATTGGCATGTTCCCATTCATCCCCAGTTCAGGGACTGGTCAAGTTCGGTTGCAAGAGTTGGTGTTGATGTCATCCCAGAAGTCAGCAACTTTAACTCACACCACACCCTGTGTGCCCAGGGTGTGGTGTGGTAGTCCATCCTGACGGATCAATTCTCCAGGGTTGACCTCACGGCTGGCGTAGATGCTGGAGTCCTCAGCATCAATGACCTATAGGATTTTATGCAAGTTTAAATGATTTGTTTTGTTCTCCCCGAGGGGAGTGGACTGATCCCGGAGGTACTGCAATACCGGGCCGATCTGTGGCAATGGTGGAGCAAGCCCCTAGCACTTCGCCATGTTACAAAAATTAGTTTAAAATCAAGGATCCCACATGGGGATCGTATCAGATATTAAGCTGATAAGAACAGATTTTATTTAAAAACATGGTACAGCGTGGGTTTTTACAATGCTTTCATATAGCCTAGGCTTAAAATTTTTGGCAAAGCTAAGATTTACAAAGGATCTCTTGCAAGTTACAGTGTGAATTATTTTTGGCCTAACATTTATACAATGCAAATTAATACATACATACTAAATACACATATTATTCACATTGACGGGCTAAAGTGATGTGCTCGATGTACCGCATCCTCGACCATTTGATCGCGTCACTCACACACAGCTTCCTGAAGGTTGCGAGGTACTACTTCGATGCCAATCTCTTCATCAGTCACTCGTTGAGTGGGTCGTACGATCCTAGTGGTCCAACTATGGACGGACACACTGTTGTACCGCGGCAATGCCCTCATCTCGTAAGCGAGGTCGGCGTACTTTGTCTCCTCAGTCCATGTGTCTGCAAAGGCAGTTCCCATGCTCTTGAAGGGGCAGGTGACGTCGATAATCAGCAGCTTGTTGTCCTTCTCGGTGACGAGGTCAGGCTTGAGGACACTGTCTGCTCTTGGGACTCACTGGCGTCCTAATGCAGCTACCTTGACTCTGTCTACTAAGGAGTTGTGGCATCCTCTGTAGGTATTAAGAGTATGTGGCATCATAAGGAGTTGTGGCATCCTCTGTAGGTATCAAGAGTATGCTTGCAATGGCACATGATATGTGGCAGAGTTTCGTTTTGCCAGGGACATCAGTGGCAGGTCTTGTTTGCGTTCGGTCGTCTGGTGGCTCCATCCAGGGGTAGCAGGTTCAAGCTTACTTGAACTTGCTTGAACCTTGAACCTTGTACGAAGCGCCAGTCAGCGAACGTCGTGTACTCTCCATCTCATGAAATGAGATGAAGCTTTTTCCTGTGAGACTACGCACATTACTTTCCCTTGGTCTCAGAGGGTCTGTAGATGGGCATCGCGAAGTTGTCTGTTGTGGTTTCTGATGATTCTGGCGACAATTCTTCTTGCGGCAGCCTTCAGGGTCTTGTCACCACATGTTATGGAGATGCTTTTTCCATCAGCTGTCCATGTCGTTCCCATTCTTCCAGAGGCATCCCTTGCTCGAGACCAAATGGTTTGGATACTGCTTGATCTTCCAGGTCTTTGGAGAGATAGGAACAGACGTGTTCAGGTGTGACTTCTTCCAGTTCTTCTCTTAGCCACTACGAGGCGGCAGTCTTCTTGTGTTATCTCCCTTGTATCAACATCGGGCGAGTTTAGGAGTTTGAATGTTGTGTCGATGAGGAATAGGTCAGAGTCTTCTGCGCTAGAGGGATCCCACAGGATCCTGCTTGTGTGCTGCCATAGAGGTACCCGGAGGTTGCGCGTTCTGGCAGATAGAGGGTCTTCTTAATGTGTGGTTTGAGCTTGTCATCTAACCTAGCCCACGTAGTCTTCTTAAATTGCCAAGTTCTCATTGCAGACTGTCGAGGAGAAAACGAATGTCTTTAGTGCATAAAGTCTTTGCCATGGAGCCAACTTGCTCATAAGAACTTTCTTCCCAAGTTCAATGTAGTCTTCAATTGAGGTGTCACCGAACAACAGTTGGAAGCCGACGGGGCGTCCCAGGAACATGGAGTGGTCTCCCCCAAGCCGATATTGTATGTTTCTTCCTTCGATCGGGAACTGGGTCTCCCTCAATCCCACTGGTGTCCGTCCTGACATGTGCATGGAGTAGCACTTGTTTGGGTTAAGTGTGAGTTTTATGGCTTGGCAGGCTCTTCCAACTGTGTCTAGTAGAGCTTGTAGTCTCTCTTCTGTCCCAGCAAGCAAAGTGATGTCGGCATATGCTAGGCAGGGGTGTTTCAGGTCTGGGTCAGCTTCGAGGCCAGCGTTGATTGCAGTTATAACGCACGTTTATGTTACGTTGTTGGGTTGATTAGATGCACAGTGTTTAGTGAGTTTCATATTTATTTAGTAGTCCTGGATACACCAGTGTCGTAGACGTTGAGACGAAGCCTGGAGCAGAGCAGAGAGCTGAGTGAGGCCGGAGTCGTGGAGCTCTATGTGGGAGAGCGTGGCGGATTAATTGGGAATTGTCAGTGTCTGAACTCGGGGAGCGAGAGCGTGGCGGCTCAATGCGGTCGTAGTCTGCTGTCTGCTCTGTGTCAAAGCTGTAGCGTCTTGGGTCGATTAGAACTGTACACACCGAGTGCTACATTGTTGACTGTGGAAATTGTACTGTCCGCTATTCATCAAATCGCTTGCTTATATGGTGATTACACCTCAGCTTCCTCCAACAAGATGAGAAAAGTATTACCTGTAATTGGGGAAAGGATTGTAGCTTCTGTAATTAGTGCTAATTAGTTATGCTATTAAGATAATGAGATAATGGAGCGAGTATAAGATTAACTCCCTACACAGTCCTCAGTATAGCTTCGATGGAGATGTTGAAGAGGAGTCCACTAATTGGGCATCCTTGCCTGACCCCACAGTTGGCTGGGATTTTGTTCGTTTCGCCACCAATCGTCATGGTGTTTCCATTGGTGATGCTGTTGACAACTGCTAGGAAGTCATCTCCTGCTCCCATCCTCCGGAGTGCTGCAGAGATGAGTTTAGTTGGGACCGAGCCGAAGGCATTAGTAATGTTGAGGGAAGCAATGCAAAAGTCTTTATGGCCATGCCCTGTCCTTGCTGCATCTAGGTAGTGTTGCAGGACGAAGTTATGTTCGAGAACTCCGTCAGTTGGCATAAATCCTTTCTGGGCGGGGCACAGCACTTCGTTGTCGACGATCCAGTTTTGCAATCTGGAGGAGAGGCAGCCAGTATACAACTTGAATATGGTGCGGCAGAGTGTGATAGGTCTCCAGTTTGTAATGTCCTCAGAGTCACCTTGTTTGGGAATGAGTACTGTCTGGGAAGACTTCCAAGCCTCTGGGGTCCTCTGTTGGCTCAAGCAAATGTTGAAGATGGCTGTAATCACACGGCATCCTGGGTCTGCTCGCTTCCAGTGGCTGAGTGAATGTCATCTCCTGGAGCGGTGTTTTCTGTTCTGGAGTCTCTCGTTGCTACTTCTTGTTCTGTAAACTCTCCCGAGTCCATTTCTCTGTGGTCCTCAGGTGGTTCAGGGATGGCAGTGATGATGTCGAAGTTCTGGAAGGGGTCTTGTACACCCAGTGTACGGGTGAAATGCTCCTCAACTTGTTCCTCGGGTATTGTGCAGCGGGTACTTTCTCCTGTTGTGATGAGTCTAATTGCCCTCCTCCGATTTCTTCAATACAGTCGTTGGATAGCTGCACAGTCGTTGACGTCGATTGTAGTTGATGTTGTCGATCTACCATCAGTTGTAATCTTGAAGTGCTCCTGCATTATTGTTATCTGCTGCAGTAGTTCCGTGAAGGCGTCCCAGTCTGGGTGGTGGAGGAGATTGTGTAAGGATGCAGAGAATTCTTCCAGCAGCCATTCCTCTTCAGCTTTATCAGGGGCATTCTCTTCTTGTTGGGGGTTGGTCGTCTACTTCATCACCAGCGTCGTCCCCACCATCGTCGTCTTCCTAGGGATGAGACTGGTCTTGATGGTCTGTGTTGGAGGCTGGAGACATCAGAGTACCATCATCAGGCTCTGAAACAGGGTCAAGAGGGGAGAGCGGAGATAGAGGAGGGGGAGGAGAGGGGATTGGGTGCCGAGGCAGGTGGTGTTCAGCAGGGGGCTTTCAGGTGCAGGGTGGGTGGAAGAGGAGACAGGTGTGGAATAGGCAGACTGTGGGCTGGGTGGGGGGCGAGGAGGGGAGGGGGCAGGTGAGGACTGGGTAGACTGGGGATTGAGTGGGGAGCAAGGAGAGGAAGGGGCAGGTGAGGACTGGGTAGGTTGTGGGTTGGGTGGGGAGTCAGGTCTGGGTCATCGGCAAGCTTCTGCATCTTGCTCTCGGTGGGTTCTGCCATGGTTGTTTAATCCTATTTTCATAGAGAAGCTTGAGGTGCAGTTGGGGCACTGGTAGCAGCGCCTAACTTCATGTTGTTGAGGTCAGTCTGCAAGGAATCGTCATATTCTTGTACATCTGTGCATGCTGGGGCGAGCTCCTAGGACTTTGAGTCAACCTGCACACTTTTGGACTGTTCTATTTATCGGGAGGGTATGGATCTCACGAAGGTGGCGGGCGATTGACTTGTTTCCTTGTCCATACCATTCCTGTATATATCATACGACAGAATGTCTCAGTACAGTTGAGGTGAGGGGGTGGGGGGAACCAGGTGGTGAGCACATCGCCATCTCACTGGGGTTGTCGTTCTAAGTTCAGCGGCTGTGGAAGTGTTGGTTCACCTGCAGCTCCTTGGTTGTTACCATTGTCCCTGTCACTTGAACAGCTGTTTCCATCTTTGGCAGGAGCAAGTTGGTTGTTCCTTCCCTAGTGAATGAGTACTCCAATGTGCTGGATAGGGGTGCCTGGTTGGGGGTCACACTGGGGAGGAAGTGAGCCCAAGGACTGGAGCTCTTCTTCAATTTCATCTTCCACACTAGGCGACCTCAATGGCTGGTTCTCTTCAACTAGAGACGATGACTGGATCTCTACGTCTACTTCTTCATCAACCAGAGGCGGCCTCAGTGGCTGAAACTCTTCCTCGATATGGGGTGATGCCTGGATCTCTTCCTCAACTACAGGCATTCTCGGCGGCTGAATCTCTTTCATTGACTGGAGGCAGGTCCTGGAGCTTGAGCCCAGGGTCTTGGTCCTAGGGTGTAGGCGACAGGGAGTCAATGAGAGAGCACTCTGTTCCATCATAGAAGTCGTCTGGATCCTGGGGAATTCTTCTGAAGTTGAAGTTCCTGAGGCTGAAGTCGGTCCTCCGGGCGCTGTTGAAGTCGCCCCTCCATCGCTGCTGGAGTCTTGCCCATCATCTTCCATCTTTCATCATCATCTTTCTTGCTGTTTGATATTGGGCAGCAGCTCATTTCAACAAGCAATAAAGTCCTGTGTGTTAGGGCCGATACCGGGTAGAGGTGCAACAACGGGATCCTCGCAGTATGATACTGCGAGGATCTGCTAGGATACACTTTGATCTTAGCCAAAAGGCCGAGAAGCGATACCAAACCTGTGTCTTCTGTGATACCAGACTACAATTGCTGATATCACACATGTATAAAGTTCCAATTCTATAAAGGCATATCATCCAATATTATTAAAATTTAGGTTATTAACTCAACTAAACAATGTTTAGCTATTTCTTGCATAATAATTCAGCTTGTATCTACATTATCATACTATATTCTTTCAAATATAATTATCAATTGCTTTTTCCATGTCTTGAAATTATGATGTCATGTCCCATGACTAAAGCTCATTATTGAAACGTACCTCCCCAGTATATTATTCTGAACGTACTAAATGTTTGATGAAAATTGCTTTTGCAATAAATTGTTTTAATGTGGTTGAAAATTCCTATAATAGAGAACATTTCAACAAAATAAATAAATAAATTAAAATAAATTAAATAAAACAAATAAAATATATATTTTATATATATATATATATATATATATATATATATATATATATATATATATATATATATATATATATATATATATATATATATATATATATATATATATATATATATATATATATATATATATATATATATATATATATATATATATATATATATATATATATATATATATATATATATATATATATATATATATATATATATATATATATATATATATATATATATATATATATATATATATATATATATATATATATATATATATATATATATATATATATATATATATATATGTCGTACCTAGTAGCCAGAACACACTTCTCAGCCTACTATGAAAGGCCCGATTTGCCTAATAAGCCAAGTTTTCATGAATTAATTGTTTTTCGACTACCTAACCTACCTAACCTAACCTAACCTAACTTTTTCGGCTACCTAACCAAACCTAACCTATAAAGATAGGTTAGGTTAGGTTAGGTAGGGTTGGTTAGGTTCGGTCATATATCTACGTTAATTTTAACTCCAATAAAAAAAAATTGACCTCATACATAATGAAATGGGTAGCTTTATCATTTCATAAGAAAAAAATTAGAAAAAATATATTAATTCAGGAAAACTTGGCTTATTAGGCAAATCGGGCCTTGAATAGTAGGCCAAAAAGTGAGTTCTGGCTACTAGGTACGACATATATATATATATATATATATATATATATACACACACACACACACACACACACACACACACACACACACACACACACACACGCACGCAATTGACGATCACTAAACACTGATCATTTGTATGCGGAAAAACCACAAAAAAATGGGGGAGATGAGAGATGAATTTATATATATATTGATGAATAAATTATTATATATATATATATATATATATATATATATATATATATATATATATATATATATATATATATATATATATATATATATATATATATATATATATGTCGTACCTAATAGCCAGAACGCACTTCTCAGCCTACTATTCAAGGCCCGATTTGCCTAATAAGCCAAGTTTTAATGAATTAATGTTTTTTCGTCTACCTAACCTACCTAACCTAACCTAACCTAGCTTTTTTTGGCTACCTAACCTAACCTTACCTATAAATATAGGTTAGGTTAGGTTAGGTAGGGTTGGTTAGGTTCGGTCATATATCTACGTTAATTTTAACTCCAATAAAATAAAATTGACCTCATACATAGAGAAAAGGGTTGCTTTATCATTTCATAAGAAAAAATTATAGTAAATATATTAATTCAGGAAAACTTGGCTTACTAGGCAAATCGGGCCTTGAATAGTAGGCTGATAAGTGAGTTCTGGCTACTAGGTACGACATATATATATATATATATATATATATATGTCGTACCTAGTAGCCAGAACGCACTTCTCTGCCTACTATGCAAGGCCCGATTTGCCTAATAAGCCAAGTTTTCCTGAATTATTATATTTTCTCAATTTTTTTTCTTATGAGATGATAAAGCTACCCATTTCGTTATGTATGAGGTCAATATTTTTTTATTGGAGTTAAAATTAACGTAGATATATGACCAAACCTAACCAACCCTACCTAACCTAACCTAACCTATCTTTTTAGGTTAGGTTAGGTTAGGTTAGGTAGCCGAAAAAGTTAGGTTAGGTTTGGTTAGGTAGGTTAGGTAGTCGAAAAACAATTAATTCATGAAAACTTGGCTTATTAGGCAAATCGGGCCTTGCATAGTAGGCAGAGAAGTACGTTCTGGCTATTAGGTACGACATATATATATATATATATATATATATATTTATTTATTTATTTAAATGTGGCAACTCTCCCCTACACTGTCGCTGACTAGTACTCTGTCAACGACAATATTGACAGAATTCCTTGCCCCCATCACAACCAAAGTATGTCATATACAATTTTTGTTTTTGTTTCCCCATGATCAGTGAACACATTTTAATATTACCAGAAATAAATATTTTGTGGAATAATTTTTTCTGTGCACCGGGGACTTGACATATTTAATAGGAGCACAGCACAGTGGTATAAGTGGTAAGAGATATCAAATCCAAGAACTGAACTGGAACAAAGAAGCTTCCTACGTACCTTGCAAATAATACCATAGGAGTCTAGTGACAGGTTTTAAGGTATTTCCTTTTTAAAAGAGCTGGCGAGTTCAAGTAGACATACTTGCACCTCTCTTTGTAGTAGAGCTGAAAAGAAGTATGTACAGTATATCATTAACTTTTTGTTTTACATAAGCAAAAAATAAACATTTAAGATAATGAAATACCTCTTATTGATGGGTCCTTGGTGATTCCGTTTTTAGCAACTTGGATACTTCCACAAAAATTAAAATCACACCAAGCCCTTTCGAGTCACCGAAAGCCACCCTTACAACAGAAGTAAACTCTGGTGCCCTCTAAAAATGCATAAAAAGTTGAGCATACTAGACTACTTATAAGAAGAAAAGATCAGCAGAAAGGCAAAACAAAACATACAACAGCAGAGTAGATTAAAACAAGAGATCATTCACCCTCTTGTAGTAGCTGTCCACCGCCAGGTGGCAGCACCCCAGCTGCTGGCTCCACCCAGGCAACACAACAATCATTGAACCAGTAAAGATGAATACCAATGCCTCCAGGAGAGGAAGGGAGGGGTAGAGAGCTGGCAAGGAGCTACCAGAAACAGGTATGTCACTACCTTTTAGCAAGATTGCCAATCAGACTTCCCTGAACCTAGAGAACTGCAGCCAAGGGCCCCCAATGCAGAGCACTCATCCCTGCCCACTGCCCAGGAAGGGAAGGCAGAGTCCAATGAAAAAGCTTTGAAGGAGGGAGTCAGCTGGGAGGACCCAGAAGCTTCTGTGGGAAAGTGGCTCAACTACCTCTGCACCCATATACGAAGGGGGCAACCTCCAGAGCTGCCCAAGCTAAACCCTGCCCAATGTCCAAAACCGTCATATGCTTCGGAGCTAGATGCAGGGAGGGAGGAGAAGGGCAAAACCTGCCCACTGGGGAAGGAAGAATGGGTGTTGATGGAACCACAATTGAAGCAACCCCAATCCCTAACCACCAAGTGGAGAAGATCGGGGCATCCAACCGGGGGCACGAACTAGTTCACTGCAACACAAAAAAATTATGTAAAGCAAGGCGACCGCTGCTCAATACCTCTGAACTTCTACATGGAAATGGGCGAGTTGGAGCACATGGGAAAACCAAGTCCAAGGTGACTCGGGGTTATAGGTGTATCCGACCCAACAAGGACATATGAACGTTGCCCAATGGCACAGGCAACGAACAACCCTCAAATTTGCACTAGGTGAAAACATGCTCGGAAGAGGTATCCACAGTACAACTGAGCCCATGGGGGTTTTCTAGGGCCTGCAGGAAACCAGGACAATGGGGTCTGCTTTAATGGTAAACCCTGTCAAGGCAGGTAACCAGACCACCCGAAGTCTAAGGAAAGGCGAAGGGAGCAGCAGATTACCTTACCTTATGATGATTTCAGGGCCTGGTCCTCGACCAGGCCCCCTCGTTGTTGGACTGGTCAGACATCAGCAAAAGAGTTTCTCCGAACAAACCCAAGGCATGCCTAATGAAAGGCACAACACACAAGCAAAAGGCAAACATAAACAAAAACACTTAAAATAAAAATCCCCCAAGAGCAAACCATGGCGAACAAATGAGAGAAACCTTGGCATGCCAACGAGATCCTAGCTAAAATTAGGACGCGCAGACCGCAGTGTGACCCACCAGTCAACAGCACTTCCAAACCCGAGGCAAGACGGAAAGCTCCAGACCCCCGGCTAACCTGAAGGGCAAGGAACACCCCAAGCAAAGAAGCCCCCTAATAGGAGTGTTTCAGGAAAGCTCCAGGGAAGGCAACCCTGACTGCACAAGGCCAATACCTACAGAGTGCACGGGAAAGAATACCCTGAGCACATGCAACTCCAGTACACTAAACTCCTGGCTCACACACAACTTCATTGTAAGAGAACAGCCTCAAAGGCAAAACACCACTCAAAAATGGGAGACTGGAGCCAGAGCGACGTCTACTACTAAGCGCAGACATCCGTCTAGAACTGGCTGGTGAGGGGCCCAGCTGACCTGTGCCAGCTATACTCTCCCACCCAATGAATGGGATGGTGGAGCTAATTAGTTTCACAAAGTTTTGGTTGGTGGTTGTTATTGTTGGGGAAGTTCTTTTGACATTTTGTGGGCTACAGCTTCATTTTAAACCATGCAGTGGTCTGTTTTGATCTGCCTATCTTTCTGGTTGCCTTACCTAGGTGATGGCAAAAATGATAACCTTTAAACGTAAAGTGATCATAGGCCATCGCTTTCTGCACCTCTGAGGAGACCAGGTTCTGGCTCGTGGTCCCCGGTAAGCATAAAGAACTCAACAACTGATAACACACTAAGTAGTGTTGCACTTAATCTGTGATAGCTTCAGGAAGCTGACAAGGCTCCCCAAGAAATGACAAATAGCCAGCATTGGATTTTGATCACTATAGGATGGGAAGGATTATAATACTGTACTCCACATAGGAGGGCACTGTAAATTGACCTCAAAACAAAAGTGTATTTGTGAATAAATAGCAACTGGCAAAGAGCATATAAAATAGCATAAGGTTCTGTTGGTGGGGGCCCCCAATAGCTTCGCATCCATGTCCTGTTCCCTTTTTAAAAGTAATTGCGAGGCTTCACACGAGCAGCTCGAGTGAGAGCCGCAAGAAGGCCGAGACCCCATGTCACCTGGGTTGCCATCTGGTGGCAGTTAAGCACATCACTGTTAGGGTATTTACTCTATTTGCCTTGTTTATTGAGGGGAGCTTAATTTTCATCATTTATTTATTTATAATGCAATGCTGTTCGCTCATGCTGCGTGCGCCAGGCTTGGTTGCTCCAACAGTACTTCATCATTGTCTGAATCGTCAAACACACTTTCTTCACCTTCAGAGAATAATTCGTGGGCTATTTGCTCTGGGGTGAGGGACTGAGTGGTGCGTGCCCGTGAGGCGTTTGACCGTAATTACCTAAGTGTAATTACCTAAGTGTAGTTACAGGATGAGAGCTACGCTCGTGGTGTCCCGTCTTCCCAGCACTCTTTGTCATATAACGCTTTGAAACTACTGACGGTCTTGGCCTCCACCACCTTCTCACTTAACTTGTTCCAACCGTCTACCACTCTATTTGCGAAGGTGAATTTTCTTATATTTCTTCGGCATCTGTGTTTAGCTAGTTTAAATCTATGACCTCTTGTTCTTGAAGTGCCAGGTCTCAGGAATCCTTCCCTGTCGATTTTATCAATTCCTGTTACTATTTTGTACGTAGTGATCATATCACCTCTTTTTCTTCTGTCTTCTAGTTTTGGCATGTTTAATGCTTCCAACCTCTCCTCGTAGCTCTTGCCCTTCAGTTCTGGGAGCCACTTCGTAGCATGTCTTTGCACCTTTTCCAGCTTGTTGATGTGCTTCTTAAGATATGGGCACCACACAACAACTGCATATTCTAGCTTTGGCCTAACAAAAGTCATGAACAATTTCTTTAGTATATCGCCATCCATGTATTTAAATGCAATTCTGAAGTTAGAAAGCATCGCATAGGCTCCTTGCACAATATTCTTTATGTGGTCCTCAGGTGATAGTTTTCTATCTAGAACCACCCCTAGATCTTTTTCTTTATCAGAATTCTTTAAAGATTTCTCACATAATATATAGGTTGTATGGGGTCTATGTTCTCCTATTCCACATTCCATAACATGACATTTATTAACATTAAATTCCATTTGCCAGGTGGTGCTCCATATACTTATTTTGTCCAGGTCTTCTTGAAGGGCATGACAATCATCTAAATTTCTTATCCTTCCTATTATCTTAGCATCATCAGCAAACATGTTCATATAATTCTGTATACCAACTGGTAGATCATTTATGTACACAATAAACATCACTGGTGCAAGAACTGAACCCTGTGGTACTCCACTTGTGACATTTCTCCATTCCGATACATTGCCTCTGATTACTGCCCTCATTTTTCTATTAGTCAGAAAATTTTTCATCCATGATAGAAGCTTACCTGTCACCCCTCCAATATTTTCCAGTTTCCAGAACAACCTCTTATGTGGAACTCTGTCGAAAGCCTTTTTTAGGTCCAGATAGATGCAGTCAACCCAGCCATCTCTTTCCTGTAATATCTCTGTGGCCCGATCATAGAAACTGAGTAAATTCGATACACAGGATCTTCCTGATCGAAAACCATACTGTCTGTCTGATATTATATCATTTCTCTCCAGGTGTTCTACCCATTTAGTTTTGATTAGCTTTTCCAATACTTTCACTATTACACTTGTCAATGATACAGGTCTATAATTGAGGGGGTCTTCCCTGCTGCCACTTTTGTAGATTGGAACTATGTTAGCCTGTTTCCACACGTCTGCTACGATTCCTGTACACAGGGATGCCTGAAAGATCAGGTGAAGTGGAATGCTGAGCTCAGATGCACATTCTCTCAGAACCCATGGTGAAACGCCATCTGGGCCAGCTGCTTTGTTCCTCCCGAACTCCTTTAGCATATTTTCCCCTTCATCTCTAGACACCTCTATCCGCTCTATGTTGTTCTCTGGAATTCTTATTGTGTCTGGTTCTCTGAAGATTTCATTTTGTACAAACACACTTTGGAACTTTTCATTTAATGTTTCACACATTTCCTTTTCATTTTCCGTGAATCTGTTTCCCATTTTCAACCTCTGGATATTATCCTTTACCTGCAATTTGTTGTTTATGAATTTGTAGAATAGGCCCGGTTCTGTTTTACATTTATCTGCTATCCCTTTTTCAAAATTTCTTTCTGCCTCTCTCCTTACTGCTGTATAGTTGTTTCTCGCATCTTTGTATCGCTGGTATGTTTGGGGGTTTGGCCTCTTCCTATACTGATTCCATTTTTGTGTCTTTTGGTCTCTTGCCCTCTCACAATTTCTGTCGAACCAATCCTGTTTTCTGGTCCTGCATCTCTGTTTTGGTATGAATGTTTGTGTGCCTTCCTCGTATAGTTTTAAAAATTTGGCATACATTTCATTTACTTCCCTGCCTAGCAACAATTTTGTCCAATTACACTCATTAAAAAAATTTCGAAGTTCCCCATAGTTGCCTCTCTTTAAATCGAGTTTATCAACTGTTTCATTGTCCCCATTTTCTTCTAGATGATATCTTAAAGCATATTTAATGTCTAACAGGACGTGATCACTCTTTCCCAAGGGAGGAAGGTACTGGATGTCAAAAATCTCTTCTTCTTTCCTGGTGAATACTAGATCCAGTACTGACGGTACATCTCCTTCCCTCATTCTTGTGGCTTGCTTTATGTGTTGATACAAGAATGTCTCCAGAATGAGGTTCACAAATCTGCATGTCCAAAAGTCCTCCGTTCTTGCTTCATAGGCCTCCCAGTCTATTGCTCTAAAGTTGAAGTCCCCCAGTATCAACAGTCGTGATTTATCTTTATCTGCTTGTACAATAATATCTCTCATGACCATTATGAGGCCCTCTCGTTTGTCATCCAGTTCTTCCTTTGTCCACGTGTTGCTTGCTGGTGGGCTGTAGGTATTTACAATTATCAGGTTATCATCCTGATTCCAGACCTGCAATGCCATTATGTCAATATCTCGAGGGTTTTCAAATATTAACTCTTTTACCTTCAGGTGTTTTTTCACCAGTACAGCCACTCCTCCTCCCTTCCTAGTTTTCCTGTCACGTCTCCAAACTGAGTAGCCTCTTGGGAATATGACTTTATTTATTATATTTCCTTCAAGTTTCGTTTCTGATAATGCAACAATATCTGGGACCCTAAGCTGGATTATATCTTGCAACTCCAAAGTTTTTGACCTCACTCCATCTATGTTGGTATATACAATTTTCAGGAACATGTTCCCTTTTCCTTTGCTCTTTACTCCCCCTTCCACTACTGATCTTGTTGCTTTGTTTTTATGTACCATTTCACAAGCTTTCCAGTCCCTGTCACTTTGTAAAAAAAAGAATTTCTGTCTTCTTCATTTCTATCCCCATTTAGACGTTTTGCCTCAATTAAGTTCATTTTCAGCTTTTCTCTGTCTTCCTTGGAGAGGTCTTGTCTTATTGACCAAAATTTGCCAACCTCATCACTCTGCAGTTTCCTGGCATTTCTTAGCACTTCCATCATGTTTTTCACACCATTAAACGTCACCCTTAAGGGGCGGTTCTTTTCTTTCTCATATTTTCCTATTCTTCTAAAATCACTGACATTTTCCTTTGAGCCTTCTCCTAAACCTACTATTTTCTCTATGATTTTCATCTCTTCTGCTGCTCGGTCCACCCTAGATGAAATTTCCTTCTCTAAACATCCAAAAATGATTATGGACTTAGTTCTATCTGCAGTGTTTTGTACCAGTTTACTGTTGGTAACCAGTTCTTTCCTAATTGCTTGCCTAATTTCTGCTTCTTGTTGGTCATTTCTGGTTTTGACTTCCGAACACACTTCTTTGATAGTCTCTTTCTCTTTTACAACTTCAGCATATGTCGCTTTTATTTCTTCTTTATACTTTTCTAGTTCTTTATTCACCTCCTCTATGTGAGTTGACAGTGAAGTTTCCAGTTGGAGATCCTTACCTAACTCTATGTTAGCCCTTAGGCTTGCTTGGAGTTGTTCACCATATGAGTCTATCTTCTTGTTTATTTCTTCAAAGTCACCACACTTCACTTTCCATGCCTCATTTTCTTTCACTAGTTCCTTGATTTGCTCCTCCTGATTTGTTACCTTGTCTGTTAATGCAGTAATAATCTTACCTTGTTGCAGCATACTCCCTTTTAGAGTGCAAAGCTCACTCCAAAGAGTTCCACCGTGCGCTCGCCATGGTGACTCTCGCTAAACTGAGGCCTCCCATGCCTTCGGATCGTGAGCGGGAATTTTTTTCAAAATGGCCGCTGTTTACTAGAGCCCCTGGGCAGCGTATGGGACCCCCAGCTACACCGCGGGCCATTCAAATCGTGCGCGGTACCCATACACTTCATATGAAGTGAAGCGCAGTTGACTGGTAAAACGATTTACACTTCATATGAAGTGATGCGCACTTTAAGGGTTAAACAACTAATAACTGATGACAAAATGATAAAATATTAAAAGACTAAGAAATCAATTTAAAATAACATTTTTAAATTTCTGAGCAATTGCACGGGTATAAAAAATTAGTACTGTAGTCAACAAGGAAGTGTCAAGCCTTTCCTTAAAAATTCTGAACCTAAGCCTCACTAGTAGCTTCCTGATCAACTAACAATTTCCATAACATATAACTTTATAAACTTTTTCACACTAGTAGATACAAAAACTTGTAAAATGTCATGCACATACCTTCAATTTTTTATTTGTAACAATTTCAATATTAAGCACATTCTGGAGAGCAGGCAAACACTCCAAAACAACCACACTTTCCTGGCAAGATGAGGTGGGCTGCAAAGTTTTTGTTTTGTTACCAGAATCTAGACTGGATTTCAATTCCTGCAAGAATTATTAAAAGAACACATGATTCAGTTAAGTGTAAGTATCCACTAGGATAACGAGACTAAAATTACCAATGTTTTCATGTTTCACCACATTATCAAAGGAATACAGATGGAATTCAATGGTTTGAATTACATAATCCACTATACCTGAGTAGATAAAGACCCAAAAGCAAAATATCAATTAATGCAAGTGACATTCAGTTGGGATGATTAACGGGCATATTCCTTTATTCTTGGAAGGTACTGCACATAACTGTACTTTACATAATTCTATACGTATTAAATCTGAGCAATTATAAAGCTATGTAATTTATGTAATCCTGGACTTAAATCAATATAATCTAATTCATAATTTTTTATAAATGCTACAATATTTCTTTCAGTAACTGATTTACACTCCACAATTTTGCATGATGTAGTCGTCAATTGAATGATCAAGAGTCCAATGCATTGTTGGACTCAATGCAAGAGATCAATGACAATCCATGCTCCTGTTTAGATAGTACTCATTGTAACTATGTGCACCATAGTACAATCACTGATGTACTGTCCAAAGCAATTAGATAGTAGAGCTCAATACTTATTAACTTTATGGAAAAAAAAAACAGTGTTGAATGTAATGAATGCCATTTTTTGTGGGGGAGCCCCAGAGGCTCCCTGAAGCTATCCAAACTGACATGTGCCATATTAGTTTGGTGTCATCAGTCCCAGGACTTCTGAATGCTTACCAGGGACCAAGAACCAGAACCTCGTCCCCCTCAAGAAAGGCGCAGGGAGCAACGACCATACGAGCACTCAACTTTTAGAATATGTCGTGTCTGCCATCAACTGGGAAATACCCCCAGAAAGTTAGGTGAAAGAATACAAACCCCTAACCGGTGAAAATTGCAACCTACATCTGAACAGAGCCAAAGAATGCCCCCCATAAGAAAAACAAACAAGCAAGCAAATCGTCATCCAACTAGCGCACCTGCTTGCTAGTGCTTCCCCCACTCTCAATCCCCCAAAAGAGGGAAGGGGGAGTCCACTCAAGCAAGCAAGCAGCTCAACCCCTAGTTCGTAGAATGATGAAAACTGCTGACCAGAGGGAAGGAGGGAGGCTGTCAGAAAGGGCGCTTCAGAGGCTCATCCAGAAAATGGCGTCTCATTTCATTCAATGCTGGTTTTCTGTGGGGAGCCTAGTCAGCTTCTTGAAGCTAACTACTCACAGATAAGTAAAATAGGGACTTACCCAGGCGGCAGCAGCACCGCAGGTCTCAAGACAAAGACAGGACTCCAGGCCGCAACAGACATCCTAAAGCAACACAAGGCCAGAGAGGGCCCGGAACAGTCACAAGATACCTGGGAGCCATCTTGAGGTTATCTTGAGATGATTTCGGGGCTTTTTTTTTTAGTGTCCCCACGGCCCGGTCCTCGACCAGGCCTCCACCCCCAGGAAGCAGCCCGTGACAGCTGACTAACTCCCAGGTACCTATTTTACTGCTAGGTAACAGGGGCATAGGGTGAAAGAAACTCTGCCCATTGTTTCTCGCCGGCGCCTGGGATCAAACCCAGGACCACAGGATCACAAGTCCAGCGTGCTGTCCGCTCGGCCGACCGGCTCGGCCATGGCCCTGTTAATCCTCAAAAAACCCTGCACCCGAATGTCGACCCAAGGCATTACCAAAAATAGCAGCCAGTGCAGCATACTAACGCACATCAGGAGTACGAGGGTAGACCGCAGGCTGGAAGGACTTTAGTACACTGCAGACAACCCGAGACACACGAGCCCTGGAATAGGGAACCAGGGAAATTGGATCCACCCAAAGTGCGGCCATGGACACCAGCCACCAGACAGAAGTCATGATGCAACCCCAGGCCTAACCAACCAAGCATCCACAACCAACAGACCTCTCCGGAAGCCAGCCGTCTCATTCTTCACCAGAAAAGGAGAGGGCTGCGAACGAACAGGGACACAATAGCGGGCCTGATAGCTGAGTGGACAGCACTCTGGATTCGTAATCCTAGGATGCAGTTTCAATCCCCGGTGATGGCAGAAACAAAATGGGCAGAGTTCCTTTCACCCCAGCGCTCCTGTTCACCTAGCAGTAAATACGTACCTGGGAGTTAAACAGCAGTTACAGGCTGTTTCCTGAGGTGTGTGTGTATGGGGAGAGAAAAAATAAATAAAATTTAGTTAGTACACTGTAACAGTTAATTGATTGACAGTTAAGACGCGGGTTGAAAGAGCAGAGATCAACCCACGCAAGCACAACTAGGTGAATACAAGAGTAGAAATCCTTAAGCTGCAGAAGAGCATGAAGCTCTGCAACCTGACCCCAGAGGCTAAAGCCAACAAAACAAGGCTTTCAGAAAACAATCCCGAACCGAAGGGGCCATAACAATAAGAGGGAAGGAAAGAAAAAAGCACCAGGTCCAAAGAACAAGATGGCTCAAGTGGCAAATGAGTAGGCTGGAGGTGAAAAAAAGCACAGGAGCGCTTGCAGAATGCAGCAGGTGACATCCACCCCTGAACACAAACTGGAGTGGCTCGACCAACACTGCACGAGAAGCAACAGAATTCAGCATAAGATGCCAGTCCAGAAAGAGGTAAGAAAGGACAAAACCACCTACCTTGTTACCTTGAAGTGTTTCCGGGGCTTAGCATCCCCACGGTCCTGTCGTTGACCAGGCCTCCTAAAATTAAACATTATTGCCAACAGCATTTGGTGTTCCCAGGCAGTCACCCATCCAAGTACTAACCAAACCCAACGTTGCTTAACTTCGCTGATCGAATGAGAAGCGGTGTTCTCAACGTGGTATGGCCGTTGGCATGTACCACCACCAGTCACAGATTTCAATACATTCAGTGAGGCCTGGAACCCACCGAAGGGAAAGGAAATGGCAGAAAGACTGCCAAGAGACATCATACTGTTACTGAGAAAGCAGGTGAGACACCAAAGAAACCACCTGTTGCAACCCATCCACCGAATTGACAGTACGTTTTAATACTAAGTGTAATAAGTACATTTCCTGACTGCCATACATAGTACATAATTGCACTTATGGGGCTGTTACATTTACCTCCCCATTTATTCTCCTCGTTTTCAGTTAGGACACCCAGAATTTTAAGATGAAGTTTTAGTTCAGTTCGCTATACACAAGTTTTAAGTATCAGGATTTTTTTTTTTAGTTTTATTAAACAATAGATTTTATACAAAATTTGAAAGTATCCTGAGTTACTTTACAATTTATTGAAATATTTTAGTTTTGTTTTATTTGTTTTATAAAACTGTAATATCAATATAGCTATAGGTTAAGTAGTAATTGTATTTAAGAAGCAATAAAATGCTTATCATCAAAAACTAAGAGAGTTAGGTTAGGTCGTAGTTTTCAATTCAGCTTTTCAGGTAAACTCAAATATACACAATATATTTGACAGTACGGTTTAATACTAGGTGAAAATAAGTACAATTCCTGACTGTCATACATAGTACATAATTGCACTAATGGGGCTGTTACATTTACCTGCCCATTTTTGGAAGACGGGCTGCCTGATCACCATACAAGAGGCGATACACCACATCAGGAAACCAGTCACGAAGAGCATAGGAGTAAATCGAACCAGCAAGATACCGCCCTAGTCTGACCTGATGAAAGAGACAGAGCCGTGGAAAGACTCCCGGGTTTGGACACCGAGCAAGCAGCGCCTAAAACCAAGGTTTGGCCGACCACCATGGAGCCAGGAGAAGAGCCCTTCCGCGATTGGATTCGAGCCGAGCCAGAACCCGAAGCAACAGCTGGACCGAGGAAAAAAAGTACAGGAACCCCCACCTCGACTAGTCCTGCCAGAAAGCGTTTACCTTAAAGGCCTCACAGTTGGGAAATGATGCCATGTATAATGGGAGACGCCATGACCACTCTGACATGAAGAGGTCCACCTCTGGGCACCTGTACATCCAACAATGTTATTACCTAAGTGTAGTTACAGGATGAGAGCTACGCTCGTGGTGTCCCGTCTTCCCAGCACTCTTTGTCATATAACGCTTTGAAATTACTGACAGTCTTGGCCTCCACCACCTTCTTACTTAACTTGTTCCAACCGTCTACCACTCTGTTTGCAAAAGTGAATTTTCTTATATTTCTTCGGCATCTGTGTTTAGCTAGTTTATATCTATGACCTCTTGTTCTTAAAGTTCCAGGTCTCAGGAAATCTTCCCTATCGATTTTATCAATTCCTGTTATTATTTTGTATGTAGTGATCATATCACCTCTTTTTCTTCTGTCTTCCAGTTATGGCATATTTAATGCCTCTAACCTCTCTTCGTAGCTCTTGCCCTTCAGTTCTGGGAGCCACTTAGTAGCATGTCTTTGCACCTTTACCAGTTTGTTGATGTGCTTCTTAAGATATGGGCACCACACAACCGCTGCATATTCTAGCTTTGGCCTAACAAAAGACGTGAACAATTTCTTTAGTATATCGCCATCCATGTATTTAAAAGCAATTCTGAAGTTAGAAAGTGTAGCATAGGCTCCTTGCACAATATTCTTTATGTGGTCCTCTGGTGATAGTTTTCTATCTAGAACCACCCCTTGATCTCTTTCTTTATCAGAATTCTTTAAAGATTTCTCACATAATATATAGGTTGTGTGGGGTCTATGTTCTCCTATTCCACATTCCATAACATGGCATTTATTAACATTAAATTCCATTTGCCAAGTGGTGCTTCATATACTTATTTTGTCCAGGTCATCTTGAAGGGCATGACAATCATCTAAGTTTCTTATCCTTCCTATTATCTTAGCATCATCAGCAAACATGTTCATATAATTCTGTATACCAACTGTTAATCACTTATGTAGACAATAAACATCACTGGTGCAAGAACTGAACCCTGTGGTACTCCACTTGTGACATTTCTCCAGTCCGATACATTGCCTCTGATCACTGCCCTCATTTTTCTATCAGTCAGAAAATTTTTCATCCATGTTAGAAGTGTACCTGTCACCCCTCCA